ATGATGGTGTAGGAGCTGTAGCCGCGGGTTTTTGGAAGCAGCAGCAGCTGCTCGTAACGGCGGAGGAGCAGCAGCACTGCGGCAGCAGCAGCAGCAGCAGCAGCAGCTGGCCATGGCGTCTGCAGGCAGCAAGCGGCCCAGCCCGCCCTCTGCTGCTGCTGCTGCTGCTGCAGTAACAGCAGCAGCAGATCTGGAATGCACAGACCGATGCGTTTGCTGCTCCCATGTCTTCGATGTTTCTTTTCATCCAAAAAACCCTAAAGTTGTTGCTGCTGCTTTATTGAATGGAGCAGTAGAAGTTCATTTGCTGCCAGACAAGCTGCTGCTGCAGCAGCACCTGCAGCAGCAGCAGCAGCAGCGCGACCACCAACGCGATCTCAAGAGGCAGCAGCGGCGCAAGCTCAGGCAGCAGCAGAAGCAGCAGCGAAAACAGCAGCAGCAGCAGCAGCAGCTCGCAGACAGCAGCAGCAGCAGCAGCAGCAGCAGCAGCGAGTCATCAGACGAAGAGGCCCCCCAGCGCTTCTTAGAGGCCGATTTGGAGTGTCTAGACACCAGAACGCAAACGCTAAACCCTCACAAGAAGTCTTGCAGAGTTCTTCATTTTTGGAAAGAAGGAAATGGTAATTTAAAACCCTAAACCCTAAACCACCGAAGTCCAAAACCCCTGCCCTCAAACTCTGATGCAGAAACCCTAATTATTCGTTCACATGATCTGCAGGGATCTGCAGCTTTTCACCTGATTTAAAACAACAATCTAGGGTTTCGGAGTCCTGTCGAGGGTTTAGGGTTTAGGGTTTGGGGTTCAGGGTTTAGGGTTTAGGGTTTAGGGTTTAGGGTTAGGTTTGCATTCGTTGCAGCTATTTTAAGTGCATCTGCGGACGGAAGATGCTGCATATCTGATATCAACTCGGGGGTTTGCTCGTGGAGGTCTCTCCAAAGCAGGTTAGGGTTTAGGGTTTAGGGTTTAGGGTTTAGGGTTTGGATTTTAGGGTTCAGGGCTTAGGGTTTAGGTTTCCCTTGTTAGCAACTTGTGGCGCTGATTGCATGATCCTTAAATTGGCTCTTTTTCGCTTCATCACTTATTCTTGAGGGTTTAGACATTAGGCCTAGGGTTTAGGGTTTAGGGTTTAGGGTTTGTGGTTTAGGACTGGCTTCGACGCCCTCACGCCCATTTGCTGCAGCACTTTTGCTGCTGCTGACGAGACCGGCAATATATCTCTTTGGGACGAACGGCAGAAGAAGCCGACAAAGGTATTTCCCCCGGAAATGCCGGGGGTTTCGAGTGAGCTAGGGTTTAGGGTTTAGGGTTTAGGGTGTAGGGTTTAGGGTTTGGAGTTTAGGGTTTGGGGTTTAGGGTGTAGGCAGGGGATTTAGGGTTTAGGATTTGAACGACTTTGGGCAAGAGAGCAGCAAAAACGGAAACTGCGTTGGGGTGTTATAGACTTGCGGAGGTCGGAGCTTGGGGTTCAGGGTTTAGGGTTTAGGGTTTAGGGTTTAGGGTTTGCGGCTTAGGTTTAGGGTTTAGGGTTTGCGGCTTAGGTTTGTGCTATTCCTCGAATCTGCTGCTGGCCGCTGGCTGCGGCTACTTGGGTGTTTTCGACTTAAGAAAAAACGTGCTGAAGGCTCGCAGCGATGAAGTGGATGCTGACTTCACCAGCGTTCTCAGGGCCAAAGTAAACCCTAAACCCTAAACCCTAAACCCTAAACCCTAGGAGCTGGTGAAGGCGTAAACTTGCATTTGTATTACTCGCTACGGTGCGGGTATGTAGATAAGTGGGCGTTTTTCGAGTGTTGGCCGTTTATTGCCTGTTCTAATGTTAGGGTTTAGGGTTTAGGGTTTAGGGTTTAGGGTTTAGGGTCGGTCTTGACACAGGGAGGCTCTAAGGTTTGCTGCGGCTGCGAAGAAGGAGAAATCTGCATTTTCAGTTGGGGCGACTTCGGGGACTTCAGAGACAGAATAACAGATATAAGGACGGAAGTTAATGCCCTAGTGAGGGTTTAGGGTTTAGGGTTTAGGGTTTAGGGTTTGGAGTTCACGGTTGGGGTTTAGCTTTGCAGGCGCCATGATTCAGGCAGCTGTTCCACCTGCTGCCCTTTCTCGACCAGGACAAGTTGTGGAGCTTTTGTATGGCACCGGGTTTAGGGTTTAGGGTTTAGGGTTTAGGGTTTAGGGCTCAGGGTTTAGGGCTTAGGGTTTGAGGCACGGGGTTTAGGGTTTGGGTTTGCAGGCGAAATTTGACGAAGACACTCTTCTTGCGGGCTGCGGCGATGGATGTGTACGCGTGGTGCAGCTGCACCCCAATAGACTAGCAGGTAGGGTTTAGGGTTTAGGGTTTAGGTCCACAGGCTGGGTTTTGGGGTCTGGGGCGGCAAGGATTTCATGTGACGCCTCAAGGAAAATATCGCTCGTGGGATTTGATTGTTTGATCGATTTGGAGTTAGGGCTTAGATGATACGTTTTAGGGTTTAGGGTTTAGGGTTTAGGGTTTAGGGTTTGTGATCTAGGAATTTTGGCGGGGCACGGACGGCACGACAACCCGGTGGAGCGACTGGCCCTAAACAGCGACAAAACCCTGATAGGTTTGTTTTGAGGGTTTAGGGTTTAGGGTTTAGGTTTGAAGGTTCTGCGCATCTGGTTGTGTGCACGGCAAGAGGTGAATACTGTTAAGCGCAAGATGTGAAACTTCAGTTTTGAGTTTGGTGTTCAGAGGTTTGGTACCTAGGGTTTAGGGTTCAGGGTTTAGGGTTTAGGCTTCGGTTTCTAGGGTTTAGGGTTTAGAGTTCTGTGTCTAGGGGCTAGGGCCTGGTGCCTTGGCTCTGGGCGTGGAGGCTCTATGCTGACAGCTTACCGAGTAGTTTTAAGTTTTGTTGTGTAGGATTTGGGGTTTAGGGTTTAGGGTTTACGGGGTTTAGGGTTTAGGGTTTAGGGTTTGCTGTTTGCAGCAACGGCTGCGCACGACGACCGCATCCGGATTCACGACGCGACAAAGGTGGAATTCATGAAGACCAAGGTTGTTAGGCGGCTCAAGAAAGTAAACCCTAAACCCTAAACCCTAAACCCTAAACCCTTGGCTTCAAGCCCGAGCCTAAACCCTAACCCCCAGTCCCGAAACCCAAACCTGTGCTTTAAGTACATTTGCTGCTGAGGAGCAGCAAACCCTGGACCCCGGCTGTGGGCTTGCACAGCCCCAAACCCCAAACCCTAAACCCTAAACCCTAGGATGCAGCTTTTTTCGTGTTCCTGCCTCGCAGTCTCAGCAGCCCCGCCACGATTTGCGGGCCGGCAGTGATTTCTTTGAGGACTTGTAGGGCTGCATGCAAAGAGGCTAAAATGATGTTTCAAAAAGGCCAAAAATATTATTCAAAAAGATCTTTAGGATCATTATTTGAAAATAATCTTATTTCTCTCTTTTTAATTTGAAAAACTTCTGAATGCGAACAATTTGACGCCAATGGAGCTCAGTCTCAACCAAAGTCCCAAACCCTAAACCCTA